CTAGTGTGTATATTTTGTCGGCCCAAACCTCGAGTGTTATCACGGAACACGCCGATACTGTTTCTTTATCGGCTGAAGGAAATGGCCAGCGTCCAGCAAGTGCAGCCAATGTGAAGAAGCACTTGCCATCGAAACGGAGCAGGGGAACCCCAGTGACAGTGGAACCGAATTCTTAAAGGTATATTTGAGCGTGTTTAATTACCTTCCTGGACCTATGACTTGCAGCAAGTGTCGAAGGAGCAAAGAAAAGAGTACGGACTTTAGTGCGAAGCTCATGATCAACGTGCGGGATGCGTGATGAGCGATTTGCTTCACTGCTTCACCTTGTTTTTTATTTTTGTGACCCTGACCTTGGTGCAAAAAGCGACAGCACAGACTACATTATGTGTAGTGTACAGATACAAGCTGAAAAACAACTGTTAATTGTTTGGTAGCAGCTTTCTTGCCCTATTTTCAAGGACTATGCATGCTAATACATCAAATTTTTCATTCTTCCTGTGACATTGTTGTGACATATATAGCATTACCGTTTTCCTTAAGGACAAAGCTACATAATGATGGTATTTATACCATTATATTGCAATACCACATAAATTTATGAGAAACTAAAACTTCAAATGCATTTTTCTCTGTTTTATGTTTTTTGGCATATCCCGTAGCCTTACGAAACATATCGGTATGTTGTTATTGACTCACATTAATAAGTTATACAACATTGTCTTCGTATTGAATAGATCTGGCCAGTGATGCTATTTATTTTGTTGTAACCTTATTCACTGAATTGTTATTATTGATGATCAGTAAATAATATGTGGCAAAAATTTTTCACTTGTGCTCTTATCTGTTTATTTGACATTTAAAATTGATTGAAAACAATTGAATTAGCATCACCGGCTAGACCAGCTCTTTGGCAATCTTGTTGCATACTTTGTTTTTGTGTTCGAGGGAGTGAAGTTGTTAAAAAGCCTGTAAGAAAAGATATGTTCAATCCATACTTTATAAATTTAGTACTTTCTGTTCCGATTTAGCTATTGAAGATCTACATTGAGATTTGATTTTACAGAAAAAACTGTGTAAGGCTGTTGAGCTTCATTCAGCTTAGACAACTAATAAAAATATTTTTTCAGGGCCCACATCTCCCCTTGATTAGCTAAGGCACTGAGCCAGTTAGTTAATCAGCTGGGCGCTCGTGCTTGGGGAGTGAGGAGACAATGAAAAAGAAAAGGAGGATGTTAAAAACAGTGGACATAGCCCGTGGCAGGGGGTGGGGTGCTTGGATCTACGTCGCAATAAACGGGCGTCGAGATGCTCTGCTCTTCTTCTCCAGGTGTATTAGTCCTTTGAACCCAGTTTTCCACGAAAGAAGTCTTCAGATATTATAGAGGGCACGGGCCAACCATAATGATTATACACGAGGCCTCAGCGATTAGCTGCGGCTACTTTCTTGTAAGGCACTCGGGCGGAGTTACTAATCTCAGGGGTCATGGTGCTGATTATTCTAAATGATGCTTAGTGCAGGCATTAAACTTTTGAAAATGATTTAAACAGCCCATACCTCTAGATTTATTGTTGGTAGAAGTTTCTGGCACTTTTCTTACACAACTGCACTTCTGAGCGTGCTCATTAGAATGACAAACTAAAGAAATAAGATGTCTGTGGTTTTGAAAACAGCCAACTTTGTCGACCGCCCTTGACATGCTGCCGCATTCCATTGCATCGTAACCAATGGAATGTAGCACACTTCGAGGGAGGGATTTCGTCTTGTTGTACTGTTATCTTATTCAAAAGAGGGCATTGCTAGAACTCATAAATACTCAAATTTTGCCAAACTTGTATGATCCTGCATAGCACCCCTGTTATGGTCTCCAACCCATCGTGTTGGCCTCTCAGAAAAGCTGCTTTCTCGGCACACAGTCCCATACCAGGTGCTCAGTGTGGTGAATCCTGCAGCATATGAAATTGGACCCATGAACTCACTGTCTTCACCCCACAAGTCAACGTATTGTATGGATCACACACTGGAAGACTTAACGCTCTCCCAGACTCTGAGACTGCACTTTTGCCACCAGTGATCTTGCTACACAGAGTTATTCAATCATATGAGTTGCGAATCTGCGTTCCGAAACCCGGACACGCCATTGGCCGACCTAGCGAGAGAGAGCAGATCGTGGCGCCATCTGGGAGCGTCAATACAAAACACTGCATCGCCATTTGTGCATGCGCTTTTTTTTTAGGCAGCACAACGCCGCACGCATGAAGGAAAGAAAAAGGCTTTACGCAACACTGGCGTTGTCGCCTCAATAAATGGCTTTCGGGCTGCAGAAATTAGGTGCCTTTCTCTTATTCTAACCACTACCACCAATAAATGGCCTTAGCTTGCATGGCGCCCGCCGCCGCTGTCAGCTGTTTTTCCTCTGCAAAGGTGCAATCAAAGCCGGGTCAAAGCATCAAGGTTTATTTAATCGAAGTTGGTGCTTGCAATTTCGTGCTACCATGGTTTTAACGCTGCGCCCTGATTATTTCTCCTCGCTTGCTCATTTGAAGATGTGTGCTTGAGATCGATTGCTCATGGGAAGTTTGACGAATCCTTTTAACTGTTGCACTCTGCGGTTCACGATATGTCTCACTAACACGACGGGAGTGATAGCCGCACAAACAAGACACGGATACGGTAGAGTGCAAACCAAAGCGCAACAATACCGATCAGTACTTACTGCGAATCGGCCACTTTGTCTTGCACGCAGCGATCGAATTCCACTAATCGCAAAATCAATGAGACACCGGCTGGGATGCCATATAAATATGAAAGCCCGTTGACAAGAAAGTGGGAACTTGAGCATTGCTATTTACTTGCAACTAGCACTGCAAGCGTTCTTTTCTTTTCAGGTGCTATGTTCGTGGAGTCTTTCCAACGGCACCGGCGTTTGCTGCTCGGGCAACGTCGTCTGCTGCTGTCGACAGACTCACAGGTTGCATCCACCCGGATCAACGCTGCATCCCGCTTGAATCACGCCTTGTTGCACACTATTTTGCTGAAATGTAAACATCATGGGCTCGCCACATGAGTCTGATAAACTACAGACTTCGCTGCACCATTCATTACGCTGTGCTAGCTGTGTACCTGCCACACGAACATGCCGCCTATCGTCACGTTACTTCTAGCGCAATGCGGAAACCATGAAAAATGACACATAAAGAGAACAAGCAGCTCCTCTGTCCTTTATCACATATCCACCACTTCCGCAAAGTAACATGTTCAGCACCCTTAGGCACCAACTCACCTAAGAACATATTCTAGGCGCTGCCATGCTGTTTGGCAGAATGCGGCGGCGCTCGCGATTTTGCTAACTGCAAAAACACAAAAATTGCGCTTTCTAGTTAGTTTTGTTGTCAAGAGAGGGCATTACAATCTACTCACTTCCGCCATTTCAGCCAATGTTGTGTCCGGATTTTGATACATGGAGCCTATGGGGAGTTTCGCAACTCATATGCTTGAATAACTCTGCATGCTGCATGCATATTGCTAATTTTGTACTGTGCACGTGGGTGCCCAACAAGGACCATGAAGCACTGTTTCTGCTCGACCTCTGTAATCAGCAGGTCAGCGCTGCAACCATATTTATAAATATATCTTGTCTACAGCCTTGTGCAACATGCGTCTCATCATTCACATAATAATTTATTGCATAAAAGATAGAAATGCAGTTTCACAGACAATAGATAGAGCAACATAAATTGCCTTTAGCGAGCCTTTACTGTTTGCAGTAGAACCTCATTCAAATGTTTTTGAAAAAGGGACACCTGTAAAAATGTACTTTTTGGGGAAATGGGCAATCCGATGGCAAGTATTGGCACTGGCAAATTGTACAAAATGGGAATATGTCAACAAGGTTGTGTATTACTGACCTTTCTTGTGCTTGGGTCAGTGAAAGCACATAATGGTCAGACTCTGTAGCACATACTGCAATGCCTCTGTGTGATAGCATTTCAACAGACCTTTGGGCGCATACCAGAGCATAACACTTGGTGCATGGCGAAGCAGGAAAAGCAGCGCTACAGAGGTATTTAGTAATGATTGTAGACACTGCGTGGCATCCGTTGCCTTTATTATGTTGCATTTTCGTGCTATGCATTGTTCTCAAATGTTTTCCTGATTACTTACCGAGTGATGAAGTGTGTGCTCATGTTTCTTTTTGGCATTACTGTTTATGCAAAAAGAAACTCAATATCCATAATCCACTTCACATAAATTTGAGCTAAATGCACGGTCTTGCCAAGCTTCATTGAACATCGACGACATGTGACTGCACATACAGCAGGTGAAACCACGTGAGCAGATGATGCAGGCTGTGTGAAAGTGCATCAATTTTATTTACTTGTATAGTTGAGTTTTTCTACCATGTTTTAGATGCTAGATGGCATTAGTTGCACTAGGTGGCTTGTTGTTTCAGAGCTCTCTCTATCTGAAAGTGAGGCTAGTCAGTAATAAACAGACTGTAATTATCTCTCATGTGCTGCAGCAGCAAATCATGGTCCATGTTATGGCTAACAGGCAACGTATTGCAGCAAAGCTATGCTAGATCACTATTTCTTGTGTCAATGCTTTTTGACTGCTTGCTGCGCAAGTTACGCAATAGGTTGCTTTCAGTTAAGAGAATTCAAGTTGCTTTGCTAAATCTGTTCATTAAATATGACATTGTGCTGTGTCAAGCTTCAAAGGCTGATGGGCTCTTCGTCCGTATTCGGTAGCTGGTTGGGCTTTCCAGAGACAATGACCGGAAGTAAAAAGTTCTAACTGGGGTAATGATGCGTCGTGGTCGACTGACAAGTTTTAAATGTATGCCGGATGGTGAAAGAAGTAACTATGGTTATTCGCTCGTGCCCAATGCGCATGGCTGGTATATTCATCTCTGGAGGCAGTGTTATTGAGAAGGCCGCTGTTTCATATCCTGTGAGCTTCAGACAGGGGCCAATGCTTGCTGCTGGGCCGCCCGTTGCAGGGGGACCTGTTTGCTTGGGAAGACTTGGTGCTTCGTGTAGACATGGGTCGTGTGGCCGTCAGTGTGGTGGCACTGGTGCCTGGCCACTGGCAGCGGCCACTGCAGGCCACCAATGGCGCCGACCGTTCTCTGGCATGTCTGCTCTTGGCCACATTGGCGGGAACCTGCCTGCTGCTGCTACGGGGATGGCCACAGGACCAGGGGACCTTCTTTGACCTATGGCTTCCCGCGGGCCTCTGCTGCAGCCTTTACCTTCACAGCTGTTTTTCTCGGGGGCCGTGACCGTGCCAACCAAGTGCTAAGTCTTCTTCAGCCACAGATGTTTCTAGATTTCTCGCTTCCCGATTTCCAGAAAAAAAAAAATGTATAGCCTGTAGTCTTTTCTGATCTGCCAGTGGGCATTATACATTGTACAGCAATTTCAACTTGGTTTTTATTAATTGTAGATTGGAGAGCTAAATGCCTAATGCCTTCTAACATCAGTGCTTACTGCCTTCTTTTTGTGCATTCCTTGTCAATTTTGGTCCTTCAGAACTGCGGCCATCTTGCAGAGTTTGACATTTGTTTCCGGTTTTCCTTCTAAATTTTCAAATAAGGATACGTATTGTTTGGATTAGCAAATAACATTGGCCAGTATAAAGAATGAGTAATTTTCAATTGTGTTACAGGCAATATCTATTATTCATGTACAGCATCACTTTTGTTTTTGGCTAAAGGAGGCAGCTCTTGTATAGACCTGTCACTCTGTCCTTTTCGCGTGCTGTCTAGCGTATTCTTTTGTATCATATCATCATCCGTCTATTCCTTGTGTTGTCATTGCAGTATGTTTAGGCTTGTTGTCATCAGTAGCACGTCTTTCTGAAAGCCCCACTCTGCTCTAGCTTTCACCCTTGTGCCGACTTCACTGAACTCTGTCTGTAAATACAATGTGATGACTATATTTTTACATAAGCCTGTTAATGTTTTCTTTTAGAGTTTACATAATTGAGCAAGCAGAATTGCATCAAACAAAGCTGCTGTGTGCATATTTTCAAGCAGTAGGTACTTATTTATGCTTTGTTGACATTTTTTTATACTAATTGAAAGAGCTCCTTCAAGAATAGCATGGTAAAAGATGAATGACAGTTGGTTTTGATAAAATGTTTCTATACTTGCAGCATCGCTACTCACTGCACCTGATTGAATAGATACTAAACAAACTTTTTGCTGTCGAGTTTTAAAGGCCATATAAAAGCTTGGGTGCTGTGATTGTTTGACACCACCTTGTTTAGAGGCACAGTGGAGGAAGTTGCTGTGTTTTTCTTAAACTTCCACATCTAGCAGTCACCTCGTGAACACTAGGGGATCATATTTAACTGGTGCACCCGTCGTTCTCTCTTTCATAAGTGTGTACCGATTGGCATCGCCAGGGGTGGTGGGTCCTTTGTGGAAGAGGTATGTAAAGGAGAGGCAAAGAAAGCATGTGCACCCTATGCCGGCTTCACAGCCATTCATGCACAGCTACACGCACGCTCACAGTCCTCCAGAAATATAGCCAGCTGTTTAAAATATGTGAATGAAACACAGTTTATTGAAACAGTCGCACCTTCTAAATCAGAACTTCGACACTTCCGTAATTTTTTCATAGTTCTTGTTCACCGCCCCTTGAATAACATGCCCAACTGTTCTTTTTCTAAAATTAGGTATCCTAGTGTATTCTTTTATTTTGACAATGCTAGTACAGATCTCAAGATCAGGGGTGCAACAGCAGCATTAATTGTGCCAATTTGGTACGATTCCCTATTGTTGCGCCGAGCTGTGCCATGAAATATGCTGAAATTTCGCCACGCTGCACGAAAATGTCCAACGTGCCTCAAAATTATCTCAGGTGCGTTAATTTCAGCGAGAAATCAAACCAAGCACGCAGATGCTAACCCTAAACCTCGGTGTAAGTTATATACTCGTTAGGCAAGAACACTCGTAAGGCGTGATCGACCAGATAAAGTATAAGTGAAGTAACAGTGCCTCACGCCCATCAGTCCGCTGATCACAGCGAATACAGCTTCAAGCAAAAAAAGAAGAACTTCAAGCGAAAAAAAAGCGTTGTCGCAGCCACCAACACTTCACGGAAAATATGAATTTCCTAGTCAGCAAACGCGGTATAGCAGGTTAGGAACTTATGCCGCGCTTTCCACACGTGAACAAGGTCGAAATGCAGCTAACGCCGTCTTTGCCCTCCACCACGTTGGTCGCCATAGCAATGGCACATAAGACATTTTTCTGGCTTAAAGTCGCATTGTCCTGGCGACACATATGGTGCCTTCGCTAGACCGACGGGCGCGTGCCGTTGTTACTTAATCCGGTCGAACGTGCCTTGCAAGCTAGCCCAATAACAGCTTTCGTTGAAATAGATAGATATGCAGGTACACACTCGAAGTGGCTAGAGTACACTGAGAAATGGTTCGCATTTAATATTTAATTGATATATGACACGCACTTCAATTCCTTTTTTAAACGTAACCCCGCCGTAAAAAGTGCAGTGGTTCAAAAATTGCTTAGCCTTGTTCAAAGCTGCCCAAAATGGTGCTTAAGCCACCTTCGTTGCAGTACATCGGTGTCCTGCGGAAAAGTGTAATATGATTTGGAAGGGGCTGTTAGTGATAGTCACCGGAGACCAGGCGCGTAGCCAGAAATTTTTTTCACACCGCCTTAATTTCAGAAGAAGCACTCCCGTAAAATGGCCATTTTTCGCTCTTTATGCCATGGTGTGCCCAGTATGGCACCCTCTGGCTACGCCCCTGCCGACAACACCTTTTGTTCAATTACTCATGCGTGTATGCACAGCATAATTGAGTAATACTATGATCACTGTGTCTAAAAAAGTTACTGGCAACCTTTTGGAGCAGCGAATGTGATTTCTGTCACCCTTGAATAAAGAAATTGCCCGTCTGTCTTCATTTTTTGCCACACCTACTCCTTGGTTTTACGAATGTCCCAAATTTTAAGCTTGCCAGCTTGGCAGAGCTCCAATTGAATTCGCAGAGACTTTCAATTGTTTCAATAGGTGCAGCAAATGCTAATGTGGACTCCATCATTGTTTGATCAGTGGGGTGATTCAGAATACTACTTTCATTGATATAGCAGGGCTTGTTCACTCTGCACAATTTAGGTGGGACGAATGTCTTGTGCATACATTTTTTTTCTGAATGTAAGCCCTTTTTTTATGACGCTACAAGTTTGGTCCTTAGTGATCAAATTTTTGTTGTCCCGCAACCTGCTCCAAATTTTGATTTTAGTGCTCCAAGAGGAATATTTTGCTGCTCCAAAAATGGCTCCAAATTCAATTTCGGCTGTTGCACCCATGCAAGATGAGCCGCTGGTTTGCTGTTTGTGAGCAATGAAACATATGTAGTTAACAGACTCGTAATTTTAACAGACTCGCAATTGGTCAGTTCAACAGTTAGCCTTGGCAGCAGTGCTTTGATGACAGCGATGTTGTGGTACTCTAGTAAGTGTACATTTCTCTGAACATTGTGGCAGTTTTATAACTAAAGGTTGCTCAACTATACTCTGGAAAAATTTCTTGCAATGATGAACTGCATATTTCTCTTCAAATATAAATGCTCAAATTCAATGACTGCTCAACTTATTTGAATTACTGGCACTTGTAAGCAGTATCTACAATTAAAGATTTGTATTTACACTGATAAGGAAAGGAAATGTGATAATCAAATTCACAATCCTCTACCTCTTTGTCTAAAACAGCTATAGAGTTAGTTTATTTTTCATCTATTGAAATCGTGAGATAGCCTAAAATGCAAACAGAGGTCCTTGAAATCCCTTGCAGGCTTTTTATAATGAAAATTCCAATGCTCTTGGTGAGTCTAGAATTATTTCTCTTGTGAATGCCGAGATTTATTTAGCAATACTTGACAGAATGGGGTGCAATATCTGACTGGCTTTTCTCATTTTGGGTAGGGAGAAGACCACAAAGTCCTTTAAACATCAAACTGCCTTTATTTCAGTTTGCATGCTTCACTGCATTACATGGCTGTGTTGCAGTTAAGGAGTTTTATGAATCTGTAGCCTAGGGCAATGAAATTTTTTGCCTTTGATATAGGATGTTATGCTGATCTCAAATACGTAATTAATTTTGTAATAAGTTGCACAGCTTTTGTTTTGTGCCACAAGAATGTGCAAAATATTGTTAGTTTTTAACAAAGTTTTTATGCTACTAAACTTATATCGTTCTCGGCCATCAATGGCTCATATTGCGAGCTCGTCATTAATTGTAGAATGCAAATAACTATCAAGAAAGTGCACATAGGACGGACAAGCAAAATTGTAGTGTGAGGATTCTTAGAATCCTCAGCCTATACTAATTGGTTGATTTAGGCTCGTAATAATTATACAGGCAATGTCAAGTTTTAAAGGAGATACTTGCACCCTCACATCTGGGCAAAATTCTACTAATATTCTACTGATAATCTACGAATACAAAATTTTACTAATAACTGGGCAAAATACTACTTGATCTGGCTATGATGTCTTAAAATCAAGAAGTTACCTGAAAATATATTTTGAGGAGAACACATTTTAAAAGTGTAAGTCAAAGCTTGCCTATGTGGCAAATATATGCTTTTTCAAAATGGTTTCTTTCATCATGAGAGCTTGGCGATCATTGTTATTTTGACATGTGGCTTTAGTGAACTACTCATGCGAAATGCAAGGGCAAGCAGCCAGGTGACAATTTCCAGGGGACTCTAGAGCTTCCTTTAGTTTTGGTAGCCCCCTTGTGCTCTTTAAAAGCGATTTGAACCTACTTCGAGTTTGATTACAATCGCTAGTCTTTTTTGTTGTGAAAGTATAGAAACCTTACTTGTGAGAGCAAATAAAAATAAAAAAATTCTAGATAAAACTTTCATCTGCCCTTCAGGGGGCTAGCACAAATTTGTCATTATGAAGTGCAAGTGAGGCCCTTGCTTGATATTTTGATACATACAACTTGCTGTTCTGCCTCCGCAGCATAAATTTCGCTTCAGATTCAGTGCCTTTTTTGACACCATATGCAAGAACATTACCGTTCTGTCAGCATGAATGTTTCTAATGACATAATACGCGCTTGCATCACTGTTTGAAGAAATACAGTTGCGGTGTTGATATCAAAAATGGGTAATGATCTTTTACACTCACCCTTAGCACGGGGTTATTTTTTTCGCGTATAGATTTTATGAGGGCTTTTACAACTGTTCCGTGAAGACACTACTTTCATATACTTGCGTTTGATGTATCTGCGTTTGCGGTCATGAAGAAGCCAGTTTCTTTTCTGTGTTCTCACTACTTCTCTCCAGCATCATCCTATTATTTATTTTACTTTTTCCTCATCTCTCGGCTTGTCATCTTATGAGTACTTTATGCCAAAACTTGGCATAAACTTATTTTTGTTGAGCAGGGAGTAATGCATAAAAGGGAAGTTACTTGAAGTGGACGAAGCATTTTAAAATAAGAATAAATAAATGAGGCACAAGTTATGAACCTTGCCCACTGCAAGAAAGTTCAAGCAAGTTCCTGTGCAGCGATGCTGTCTGTAATGTCTTGACAACAATCCTATGTATTAAACAAGTACTACTTTGGGTGCTGCTCGGCACCATTGGAAGGTCCTCAAATAACCTTGAATTTTTCTCTGTGGGACATTTGTGAACCCTGTAACAATAATAATTTACACACTGGCAGAAAAATGAAAGAAACAAAGAATAAGAAAAGTCACACCAGATTTCTATGTTGTTTCTTCACACTCCAATATGAACTGGAACAGAAGCTTTGCTGCACAGTAATTTATTACATGAAATTATTAATAGTTGAATTGCATGTGTAAGCGAGTTTTATGGGTATTCTCAGAGAATCCCATGAAATGTATGTTTTTTTTCATCGAGATACGTGACTGAATAAGGTTTGCAGAATTTCGATATTTTTCAATTGAGCAGTCATGATCGCACGCTGTAGTCTTTCTCTCAGTCAAGCTCATTACACTTGCTTATACCTTTCTGAATTATCTGTGTTGACAACTATTTGTAAGAAAGAATCAATTGCCAGCCTAGATTATGAATTTTTCTTTAATGCATGAGGTCTCTCTTTGAATTGAAGTTCTTTTTTGAGTATGATATTGAGCCACTTTAGTGTAAGGTGCATCCCGTTGTGTGGCAAAACCAACCACACTGTCTCCATACTTTGCTGCAATGACACGTAGTACATTGCAGTCGCAGCTACTCAACTCATGAAAGCTCGTGTTGGGGCAGCACTTTGAGTTGCATAGGCATAGCCGGTGAGCTTATCTGTTATCGACAAAGAAGCTTTTGTCTTCTCTGTCCTGCAGTTAGATGAGGAAAGGACCCACGCGTGGGTAAGCGGTTCACGCAAGTGTGAGTAAGCTTTCATTCATGCACCAGTTTATAAATGAAGGTATTTCTGGTATTGACATACCTATTTGCCAATTTTACTGAAATGTACATCTGCAATAATAGTAATGATAATAATATGTGGGGTTTAACATTCCAAAACAAGAAAAGATGTACTGAAGACTTGTGAGAAAGCAGTAAATGAGGAACTTGGACATGTATTTGGACAGGTAATCCAGTACTGAAGAGTAACTTGGAGATTTCAGAACATTCCTTGAGCTGAGTTTCAGTGCTTTATTTATCCTGGTTTCTAGGTAGAAATAAAACAGCCGTTTAGAGCTTGCATGGTGTCCTACAGCGTCCACTACACTCCAAGATAGAACAAACCTACAGAATGATCAGTTTGTAATAAGTTACAAATATACCTCTATTCTATTTAGAAAAAAGGCAAGAAGGGGAAGCTTGCAATGTAAAATTGGAAAACAGGATGTGGGTGCTCATTTAATAAGCGAGCTTAATCTTTTTGAGGCACTAACTTCCTGTTTTCCCTCTTTGCCTTCCATTTCCACGAATGGAAGATGACAAAATATGGTTTCCCCCATATTCAGAAACTCTGCTTGACTTGAACATGACTTGCCACTGCCATCAATGCAGCACAAACACGTTTCGAATGCGCTGCTTTAGGCAGTGCCAAGGCAGCATAAATGCACAAACTTGTTTCAAACTTGCTGCATCAAAGCCCGTGCCAAGTCAATTTCAAGTCGAGCATTTCTGAATATCTCTACTTAGCACACATAGCTTTAACTGGCGACAGCCAGTACGAGTACATGGAACATGCACCATACATGGAGGGGAACATGCACCATACATTCGGTGCCACGACATTTGACATTTTATTGCCGCTGCACCACAGTACATAACGCACTTCATCATTCACTGTGGCACTAACAACTGCACATACAACAATGGCGACGTCACTGTAGAAGCCCAGAACGCTCTGGTATACAATTTTTTAGAACAGGCCAGACGCAAAACTCACCCATACAACGATCCTGCATAGAATCGCAAACACCGATCACTGATTGCAGAATCATGCACACCCCCAACTCATGCATGAGGACCACGTAAAATTAACAAGTTTCTTCTAGACCTTGAACAAAGCCACAAAATGCTTCATATCATCCACCAGGACCCTGGCACTCTGCTTGCTCAAGACTGGCTACACACCAACTTTTCAGGTGCGAAGTAATTTACAGAAATATCAAGTAGAAAATCAAAAATGAATTTAAGCAGACTCGACGCAAATAACACAATGTCCCGAGAAACGAAACAACATGCTTCAAGCACTAGCCACAACACATCTCGCCATAGCTAATTAGACACAGGAGGTATCTTCTCAAATGTTGGTAAGAATGACCAGGGGCAGCTAATACAGGCGCCTTCCTTACAGAGACACCTATATCCTATTTAGTCAGTTTAAAGAAGGGGACACTCTTTAGGTGCCTATCAAAACTCGCATACAGCTAACTATTGTCGTCATTCCGCTCTGGTCATATAGGCTCAAAGAAAGTCTCTGTTGACATTGATGGAATGTAACACCTACAAGTTTTCTCCATTACTCGATGCTCCAAACTGTGTGCGTCATTTTCGTATGCATAGAAACGGTGTGTTTTTTGCAACTTGATTTCCCTAGAACAGTAGGTACTGTTGAAGTGCATGTGAAAGGTGCTGCCTTGGTTGGGGCCGTGATGCTGCTCCGATAGCCGTGCGAGGCATATCCCTCCAAAGCCACTTTTGTTATTTCATGGCGGAACGGTAAGAACACGCTTTGTCTCGGGTTGAGCATGTGTGTCCTCAAAGACTACGAGTGCTGGCTTTTCATTTTGTGCACCGCATCCAGGCAAGAGTGGTGTTGTTTCTGGTCAGAATATTCTTGCAGCTGTTTTGGGCACTGCTTGCCTAATGTTGAGGAGTGGCCTTCTGGCAGATGTTTTCATTTTCGTTGTGGTGGGGATGAGCGACGGGTGATAATGGTTTCTGGAACCAAAGCGCTGGAGCTGTTGATGTGATCATGCTTGGGCAGGCTGGCAGCACGATCAGCATTTATAGTTCCAGGGACTCTTGCGTAGCATTCCTGGTGGTTGAGTGAGTATTTGTCACGCTGAAGGGCCGCGGTGTCTTTTGACCACGTATTACACAAGGGTATAAAGTTGGGCCTGTTGGTAATGCATAACTAATAACGTAGCGCATGAAAACTCAGGCACAGGACAAGGGCATCTTTGCCCCTTACCTTGTTCTGTGTCACAGTTTTTGCACGTTACGTTATAGTTACACATTACACATTCTGGAAAACCTGATGCAGTAATGAATGAACCTGTTGTGTATTTTTTGGCGAACCAACTTTTAGTGTTTGAGGTTAGCGAGGATCGACAGTTGCGATTTTCTTCTTGGTTTTGGGAACGTGAATGCAAGTGAGTGCCTAGCTTGAGTTGTGAATGATGGTGGCTCCTTTATTTTGTGGCATCTGTTCACTCTTGTTGCGAGTTGTCTGTATAAATAGCAAGAGAAAAAGTATTTTACTGTAGAATGTCTGGTCGCGAGATGCCATCTGATGTGAAAAGTAACCAACATAGGTGTGGTTGTGGGCATTGTCTGAAAAAAAGCCTTCCATCTGTGGAAGACTAATGTATCTCATAGTTTATTGTAGCGTTGTGCATTTTTATTCTGTGTTAATGATCAACTGTGCATATTGATGTGCTGTTACTAGTCAAAATGTACTTTTCATTTTTATTGAAGAACCTGTGTTTTATTGATGCATTTTGTACCTGTAGCTTACTGCATCATCTACTGCTCATTTTTAGTGAACCTCTTTTAAATGCGAATGCATTTCTTAGTTGGTCTATGTCAGGTGTCCCGTGGTGTTCGCGTGCGGGCAGGTGCTCTCTCTCTCTGCTCTCACTTCCTCTCCCATAGCAATAGCTGCCCGCTTACCCTCGCCCCTAGCAACCGGAGCAGGTGGTGCGGGCACAGTAGCGGAGAGCGAGGGGAGAGGAGAAGCATGCTCTGGCATATGAGGGCACTAGCATTGCGGGAGCTCGGCGGAGCTCATGCATGCGTGGAAGCAGTGGAGGAGAGGGTAGGTGCAGTGCTTAGCCGCTCCTTCTCTCGTCGTTTGCTCTCCCGCCATTCGCCCTCTCGTACGTATATATAATTGGAGTGAAGCGCGTACCTCACTCTCGACCGTTCGCTGGCTGATGAATGTGTAAATAAATGGTTACGATACAAATTCTCGTCTCGTCAATAATTTATGCCATTGAAATTAATACGCCGTGTCCTCTTGGCACAAGAAATGCATTCGCATTTCCTCATGATTCCCTTCACGGAGGTGGGGGCATTGTTATTTGTGTGTGCGTCTCTGAGGAAATATGTAGGCGGTGTAACTATTTATACAGTTGACCTTTCTCAGAGAGAGATGTTTGCTGCGTCTGAGATATATCTTTTGTGCTGCTTGCCTCTTCTACAGCCCTGATTTTTAGCATTTTGCTGCATTACCTCCACTGTCTTAGGAATTATGACTCTGTCAAAAGGTTCTCAGCTCACTCATTTGTCAATGTGCCTGAAGCGGTGTCAAGTTCCCCGTATGCTGTGCTTGTTGCACTCTTGAAAACCTGTCTTCATCATTAGGGTTTCATGGTAGAGGAAGTAATGCACTTGCAGTACAGTGTAGGGTGGTTCAGGTTACACCTGGGTATTACACTCATGCTTGCCTGTCCTTTTTGTACTGCCCATGCTCTGCCTACACTTCCTTAGAACAACCGAATTGAATGAATCCTGTTGGATCCATAAACAGTATGACACCATGATTATGAGTATGCCTACTTTTTTATACTGTCATTATTACTTATCAATTCACATAGATTTATTACTTGAAACTTCTGAATACTTGACTTAAAAAATCCTAATTTCTAATGCATCCATAAAAAAGAAACAGATTTTTGCTCACCAAGTTTAGAAAAACACAAAACCCGGAAATGGACAACCCTACTTTTATACTAATGACAGCTTTTAATGAGTTTAGGCTCGCACATAGTTTTTTCGCTCAGGTTTTATAATATTTTACTTATAATATTGTCGCGGGGTCATGACATCGACGAAGGCAGAGACGACTTGTTCAAAATGAAACTGTTTATTTGGCCGAACTTGTGGCTGGTAAACAAAAAGTCAAATTACAGCGATAAACACTGGCATTGATAGCAGCGACGAACAGAGAGTCGTCCGGTTCCAGCGCTATTGCTAGCAGCCACATAAGGTCCACAAGAATCTGTAGTGTTACCATTGTGCGTATAATAGCATAGGAAGGCTCTACGGTTATCTCAATGGTTCCTTAGTTGATTGGCAGGGTTGTACAAGATGGCACTTACACGTGTAATGGGGTGATGACCAAACGTGAGAAAGGAGAGTGCCCCGCCGTGGTGGTCTAGTGGCTAAGGTACTCGGCTGCTGACCCGCAGGTCGCGGCTTCGAATCCCGGCTGCGGCGGCTGCATTTCCGATGGAGGCGGAAATGTTGTAGGCCCGTGTGCTCAGATTTGGGTGCACGTTAAAGAACCCCAGGTGGTCAAAATATCCGGAGTCCTCCACTACGGCGTCTCTCATAATCATATGGTGGTTTTGGGACGTTAAACCCCACATATCAATCAATCAGAAAGGAGAGTGGCAATAGGGGTTGTTCTAAATCGTCGAAATGCTTGTCTTTGATCGCTCTTGTCCTTGGCATATTTTTTTAGTTTTAGTGTATATGCACTTTGTTTCTTCGTTCCATTTTAAGGAAGTGAACTTGGCTCAGTATCTCTTTACATCACAATGAAGCAAAGAGTAAATTATTTTGGGGGTTGTTTAATTGAAAGGAAGCAGTGATGATCACAAAGACTTAAGTTGTACGAATAACTATGAACGAAGTTTTGCAAGAAAATGCTGGTGTGTAGGGAACGGCAACTATTGATGCTGTACAAAGAAGCAGGCATGCTCAGCACATGCTTGTCTGTGCAAGCCCAATGAAAAAGTAGCTCAGACTAGTCAAGCTACCACGATATTGAAAAATTCTGAATGTTCTGAATGCTTTCTATGGCTTAATTTTTCCCAGCAGTAGTTGTTAGTTCTGCATATCATTTCTTTCTTTCGTGCAACATTCCTTCTCCATGCAGTTCTGTTTTGGGGCCACATCATAACTATTGCGCAAGCATAGTTCACGAGTGGGCACTGTGATATGTACTTTCAAGCCTTGATGGATTGTGTGTGCTCATATCTGCTGGGACGCCCATGTAGTCACTCTCCTCTTAAAAGGTGGTGGCTTAAGCTGCTGCACCCACTTCTTGAATGGGCAGTGAAAACGGTATGGGTGAGGAAACAACACAGGGCAGCACTAAACCCGTAATCAGCTTTGTTACTAATCACAAGTACCCACATGTGTATTACAAAGAGCTAGGTTGAAGGATCAAATGTACATTCTTTCACTTGATATGAAGAGCTTAAAAGATACAAATTTACTGTCACCAAGGTTGTTGAAGCTATCCTTACACAGTGTTCCTTGCTCTTTAAATTTTATGCTTCAAAAACCACTCTCATGACATGAATGTCATGTGCAAACAGAATTGTGGTATCCGTTAAGGTTGGGGCACACCCTCGCCCTGAGCAATGTCATGCAACATTCGACTACATAATGCCTCCTAACAAACACTTGTGCTGAGATAATCTTTAATTTGAATGCATGGAAAAGACTGCTGCTACACCACTCCAATTTTATTTTACAAGGCACAACAACCTCGTGCTGTTAACTGTGCACCCTTTCTAATTCCTGTTTGTGAATATTAGGCTTGCAAGAAACTTGGCCTATATACACTACCAGGAAGAGATGTGGCGTACTACGCCACCATGCACTAAAAGACGCTGCGACCAGCTTCGTTGACTCTCCGCATGGTGCAGAAAAGGCACTTGAGTCAGGTTGTCAACAAGCATGGAACTGAAGGTGTAGCACAGGGCAGCAATGACAGTATTGCAGGTCGTCTGGCAAACTTGCAAAACCGATCAAGTACACTTGCCTGTGGTGTGACGACACTGAGGGGGAACACCAAACGCTTGAACGATAAATTAAAGGCAGCACATGGCTCTCTCGCGATAATCAAGCACCAGGCCACAGCAAAGTGGATACGGCCAGGGAGGACAGGCAGTACAGTGGCTAGAAAGGGTTTCCTAGTGTCGTGAATGCGTGCTTTCTCCAGCAGCGGCGGATAAACTGGATTCTATGCAACGCGCAACGGTGCAGTCCGTTGCTGGCGCGTTGGCGAGCGGAGGTTGATGGCTGGGGGCAGCTGGCGTGGCAGCGCAACAGTGTCATGTTCTCAGAAATGCTACCCAATAAATACAGTTAATTTAGCCGGAGATTTGAATGCTCAGTGTTATCTCAGAGATCGATCAACAAGGGAGACAGTGAAAAGCTAATTTTGTGGACCATATGAAAAGTTTTCAAAAGGTCCACATACCCGACGTATTTTTCACTGTGCATGTATTTTTAGCTTCCTTGACATGACATTTTCCTCAAAATGCAGTTTTAACTGCACAGTATTTCTTTAAATCACTCAAATTGCGAACAAACATGCTTTGAGTGTTTCCATCTATTATCTAATTGCCTACATATGTCTGAGTGCTAATTGTCTTTTTCTTAACCAGGTATAAACGAAAATCATCAAATCAGTATGTGAGTGTTGGGTGAACTCGAGTAGCAGGTCACTGAAATGTATAACAAATATTCTTGTCGCGTACTTTGTGAAATCCTTTCCCTCAGTCACGTATGTGTGGCACATACCCGCATACCCACCCGGGTCATAGCATGCTGGATATGTGCGCCACACACACTTTCAAAGAATGGCATCAGATGCCTGTTTCTTGGCAAATTTCAATAGATGGAAAGAATGAAAATACATCACATATGTATATACATCCGGAATGACCTATCACAAAGCCCCACCTGTACCCACGGTTGAAGATTCTGTTGAAAAGAATTTTAGTAGTGATGTCAGTGCAACACGGTTGTGGTGTTGGCTAACTGCTTTGATAACAATGCAATCAGTGTTACACATACACTGCTATGACTCTACTTAAGCGTTGCATGTGTTGCAAGTACCGTAGCATGCATTTATTTGATGAAACCTGCGTCTGTGCTTTAGCGTGTGTAGCATTGTGACATAAGATCGTGCGCTAGCCTTTAGGCACTAGTGAATTCCACATCCCTCGTGAGCCCTCAATTTTATAAACTACTCAATGAACTCAAATGCATAATGCATTATCTCATTATCTAATCTCAAGGAATTATCTCATTATGCATTGCTCAAAGCATAACTTCTAGCATCGCATGAACTCAAATCCTGCACTATGTGTGAGATACATCATTTTTTTCACAATTTTCTTTATTCGCTTATCATCGAACCTTACTTCGCACCCCGACACACACTTGATAACTAAAGGCTGGAATGCTTGATGGGTCAGTGCCGGAGGGATAAAGAAAAAAGGGGGGGGGGGAAGCAGATAAGAAACATGTCTCACTTTTTTTTTTTTTTTTTTGCTGCTTCAAAGCTGCCTCTACCATACTTGTTGACTTGAAAAAGGGACTTGTCTCATTGTACTCGTGATAATATCTGAGGTTTTACATCCCCAAAACTGCAATATATAGAAATGCCGTACTTGAAGGCTCCGGAAATTGATTATCTGGCGGTGAAATTGATAATCTGGTGTTCTTTAATATGCACTGACACTGCACAGCTCACGGGTCTCTGCCATTTGGCCTTCTTTGAAATGCGACCGCCGTTGTCAGGGATCGAAACCCCCTCCTTTGGGTCAGCA